TTGGCATAGAAAGTGATCGAATTGGATAATGATGTTTGAATCAAAGTTGTAGCCAGATGAGTTAGCTTTCCAACGCATTTTGAATCGCCTCAATCGGATATCGGAATACAAAGTTATGATAAAAACACTGAAGGAAAGTCCAGCTACCTGTTTAAAACAAGAAATTCCGTTACATAATCCGTTAAAACAACAAATTCCGTTAGTTTTTCCGTTAAAAACAAGAAATTCGGTTACATAGTCACTTTTAATATATAGAAGAAATGTGTTTACTTGTGTTCATATTTTTTGATATCACCACACACGTTTAAAATTGATTAATTTTATGATCGAAAATTTGATATGGAAATCGTATTTAATTCAAAATCTTTGATCATTCAAATACATAACATAGTTTTTTCTTCGTAACTTCATCAGTCTGGGGAAAAAAACAAAAGAAAAAGAAAACTCGAAAGGCAAAAATAAATCAAACAAAGAACCTTTGAGATAAGATTGGACAGTTGAACAATAATCATATAGTATATTTTTGTAGTTGGACCACCTCTGCTACCATCGCACAATCACCGCCACCACAACCACCAATGTTGGAAAACGAAAAGGAAAACACAAATTTACAATTGAAGACCCAAAGCAAGAAAATAAATAAATGGACTGTAATGAAATTTTAATATTTATGGAATGAAGTTTTTGGCTGAAGTGGTAAGAACTGAAGTCATCTGAATCGCAATGTTATTTCGACAACAGCAACTGCTGACATCACTAGTTGCCATTTATAACAAGTTATGTTACACTAGTAACATGCAGTTTTACACCCTTATCATCGTTGCCGCCGCCACTTGTAATAATATGTTACCGTCACCACCACCACAAATGCCGCTTGCCTCCACCATAAGCCACCACTTGCAAAACCCTAGTCTATCCCACAAACCACTGCACGCTTAGAATCAAGCCTCAATCTCACCGCCACTGATAGATATGCACCTTATCTCACCACTAGATCTGCAACCCATGTCAGCATCGTCATCATCACTACCACAACCAATAAAATTTGCCGCTATCGCCACTAGCACCCTATAATCTCCACTGTTGCCTTCCCTTTCCACCACTATCATCTTTTAGGAAAAAGTTCACACAACCCACTAGAAAAAAGAAAATAAATAAATCAATTCCATCCACCACCACCACCACCTTTTCACACACCATAATTGATTGTCTTCAACATCTATCGTATACGCTATCGACTCCAACCTCTACTGCCATTGCAAAACCACCAGGCTCAATAACCAAACCATCTGGTCACAATTTTGCTTCTCCACCTCCTTCCATCGTTGACACACTGCTTGGTTCCGATGTGTGTTTGTGCATGTGTTAGATAGGTCTATGTTTGTATATAATATTCCCATACTATTTGGACTTGCAGTGCCAATATTATGTATATCCGTAAAACAGGCCCAGCACAAGTAGGTTGGAAGCCACTTTTACATAATGCAAAGATTTTAAAATACATTTTACAAATAAGAAAGTTTAAAAAATGAGGTGATCACGGATATAAAATTTTTGTAACATATTAATTAATTAAACATGTTAGTGTCACAATAGCATAGGATCCTTAGTCCGATCACGTATTAATCACAATTATAAATTTAGTTGCTAGTAAATTTTTTTAATTTTTCGTTATAAATTAACAAATTAGCTAGTCACAATTAGAGCATATCTGAATGAGCTTTTTGTTCAATGGCAATTGATTAAAGGACCGTTGCTCAATGCAACGTGGGTCCCAGCGTGCCAGCAAAAATTGACTTCGTACAAATGAAATATCGAGAATGCCGTTCCATCATGCAAAATGGTTTAAATGTAGAGGACAAAAAGGTCATTTTTCCATAAAATGATTCAAAATGCCCACTGCCATGTCAGAATTCCTGCCAATTTTGTCTAAAGCAACTGTCCAATTTCACCATTGCAACGGTCCAAATTTGGCTTTTATGCCCGCCCAGACACAGCCTCATTCAATTACCTAGTTACAGTCACTCTTCATTTCACCCCATCCAATCCCATCCCACCTACACCATCCAATCCCAACCCCTCAACACCACTCAAATTGTCGTCGCCACTTCAAATCCACAACCCAC